ATAATATATGATTATGTTAGAATATATGACTTAAAATGAACATAAAGATGTCAAATGAGTTGAGTAGATTAACATGATTGGAAATTATATGTCTAAATATGATATGTGTCAAATAATATATTTTTTCATAGCAACACCTAATGTGCACGATATATTCGCAATATGTGCAGAATATAATTTAGTGTTTCTATCAACCAAAGAATATATGATAAAAAAGACCCATTTGACGTAAACAATTAATAAGATATTGAAAGACATTAGTTAATATAAAATTTTTGAGAAGTTTAACATTTATCATTTTTTTTTTATAAATATGTTAAACTCTTAATTTAATTTTTAGCTTCATATTTACTTGTATTGAACATCAAGTGTATCATCCTTTATAGGACTTAGTACGTGCTTAATAATCTTTCACATCATATCTAGTTATTCAATTCTTGATAAATCACATTTTTCTCTTTTGCTTTATTTGCTAGGCAAATTTTTAAATAATTTTTGAGATGTGTGGTTCCACTCTTGCTTAAAACTACAAAGTCTTTCTTAGAATGTTTACATTCAATCCATTCCTTCCTACCTTCTCCTTCATACTTTGTGAAGTCATACTAAACCTTTGATTTCGACTTTCTTCTTTTAGCAATTGATTTCTCGACATGTGGATTCACCATGATCTCAATCTCTTGATTTAGAATAGGTTCAAAATTGGTATTTTCTGTTATTCGAGTGATTTCCTATTAACAGACAAACAAATCTATCAGCTAATAAGTAATAAATGGCAAAATTAATTAAGCTCAATGAGAGAAAATGAATCTGAGAAATATCAATTATTTAAGGCAAACAAATTAATCTGAATGAGAGAAAATGAATCTTAGAAATATCAATTATTTAAGGCAACCAAATCAATTTATATAGTTTGCTAGAATAATGGAGACATTGTTCAAGAATTCTAAGAATACTTAATATATTTATTTTTTTTTGAAATTGAGCTATATACATACATAGTACATACATAGGATTATTGTACATGATTGTATAATAACTAGGTGGAAGGCTCGTGAGTTTTGTGGGTAACTTTATTGCTTGTATATCAAGTACTGTTGTTTGGTTATAATATAGTGTTGTTTATGAAAGTGGCTTTGATGCTATGTTTGTTTGAAGAATTGGATGTTTCAATTGGTTAATATTTACAATAGAGTTACATGCATTATGTAGGTAGAAAACGATCCACTGAGTCTCATAATTATGTCAGTTACGAATTACACAATATACTAACATATTTAGAAGATTACACAATATAAAGTTCCTAAGACTAACAAAAATAATAGATTAGAAAATATATGTGATAGTATTTACGTGAATGTGAACTGTTTGTATTGAAGTTAATTTAATATTGAATTAATAATTAAAGCAATAAATAATAAAGAAATTAAGAATAGCAATTTGATATAAATATTACATGTGTGAAATATATATTTACATATTTACACATGATTCAATATACACCAATTTAATCCAAATAAGTAATACTCCCTCCGTTTTTTTTTTTTTAATAGTCGTTTTAAGGGTTTTTAATTTTTTCAAAATAAAAGTCGTTCCTGTCTTGTCTTTTCTCCACTTTTCAAAATGAAGGAGAAATGCAGAATAAATGAAATGCAATAAGACAAAAATGTTAATTATTTAAATAAGCGGGAAAGTTTCCTTGCAAAGTCTTCTCCCACCTGCAAAATCAGGGGAAAAAGTTGGTGGGAGAGAGAAATTTTTTTTATTAAAACCCGTGCCCAAACTTAAAACAACTATTAAAAAAACGGAGGGAGTATTAAATAGTATGATTAATATTAACATTGTGAAGATATATGCTTACCGAATTGTTGAATCCATTCTAATACATTAATCTTTTCCCTTAAATAAAAGTAAAAAAATTAATTGATTTTGATATTAACATTGTGAAGAGATATGCTACCGAATTGTTAAGACCAACTATATTGTTGAAACCAAGTAACATAATGTGACAATAGGTGATCAACGATGTCATGGTGGAATTGTATCATATCAAATAAATATAGAAAGATATTTAATGAAAATGTGGAACGTTTGTATTTATGTGAATATGAAGGTACAAACATGAATCTATAGATCTTATTTGAATAAACAAAGTTTGAAGTAGACCTTTGGGATGCCACTATTTGATATCATATCTTTCCACGAGAATGTGAAGGGTCTACAACTATCCAAATTTAGCATATAATATATTAAATTAAAGTCATGTTTGACTAGTTTCCCATGCTTCAATCCGTTCATCAATTAGACTTTTATTGAGCAAGTTATGACCAATTTACTATTGATTTTCATAACCTCAATTATTATTAACTTATTCAGATAAATGGTTCGGCTACAAGGCATATTCCATATCAAAGGTAGCATTATAGTATATCAAATTAAAGCCCTGTTTGTCTAGTTTCCAATGCTTCAATTCGTTCATCAATTGGACTTTTGTTGAGCAAGTTATGACCAATTTACTAATAACTGTCATAACCTCAGTCATTATTAACTTATTCAGATAAATGGTTCAACAACAAGAATGATTCCATATTAAAGGTAGCATATAATATATTAAATTAAAGCTCTATCTGTTTAGTTTTCAATGCTTTAATCCGTTCATCAATTGGACTTTTATTGAGCAAGTTATGACCAATTTACTACTGACTACCATAACCTCAATTATTATTAACTTATTCAAATAAATGGTTTGGCAACAATGTAGATTCCATATCCAAATTTTGCATATAATATATCAAATAAAGCTCTATCTGTCTAGTTTCTAATGCTTCAATCTATTCATCAATTGGACTTTTATTGAACAAGTTATGGTCAATATTTTACTACTTGTTGTTTAGTAGAAACCAAGAAACATAATAGTTAGATGCGAACCATTTGGTTTGGCATCTGACTTAATTTATAATGGGTTGTTTTCTCGCTTATTTTGGTTCATCCAAAGATGTCAAACACCACAAACTCAGACACATGGTTCACTCTTAAATCAAAATTAAGATGAATGGTTTAACATTCATCTAAGGGAGATAGTAAGATGCCGAACCATTCATCAGATGCTAAGAATATACACAGTTTGAAGATAAACTTAAGAACAACATAACTAGATTAAGATGTTCGGCATCTGACATCATTAAATGAATTATGATGAATGGTTCGGCATACAATTTTCTTGACATATCTCAAAAGTAAAAAATATTGACAATAATGGTTGAATGGTTCGGCATACAATTTTCCTAATAGTTGGTATTATTGTCAATGTTCTGCATACAATTTTATGATTCAAATTTAACAACTGACAATGACATGGTAAAGCAACACAATACTTAAAATATATATCATAACAAGAATCATCATAATACCATCCATAAAAGTCGATTGCCAAATATGTTCAATAGAAACTTTTGGCATAACCAAAAATAAAAAAACCAAAAGTGAGTATGTCAAAGACATAACATTTTATTACAAACCATCCATGGCTTGCATACCAATAATATATTTAATATTACATATTATATATCTAAAAGGAGTCTTTATCCCAGCAATAACCAAGCAAGCAACCACACATGGCCCCCTCCATCCTTAAGCAGTAGCCCTTCCGACCTTTCGTTTCCATGATTTCTTTCTGGTCGATCATATCAAGCTACTCCATCACAAAGTCCATGTGGCATAATGGTATTAAACTCGCTTTGCAGAGACATCATGCAATGCCCCTAATAAAAAAAGATATACGATGATATACAGAAAAAGGAAAATTATTAGAAATGAACTCCAATTATAGACAAACATGGTGTAAACCCAAGCCATCAAGACAAAGCAAATACACATGACAAAAAATAAATAAATATATACCTTTGTAGGATTAAATAATAGAACTTTGAAAAACTTTTGAAACACACACACACAAAATAAAATATATATATATATATATATGTCACATCACATAAATATATATAGATATTTAATGTGGACGTGAAAGGTTTGTATTTGTGAAGTGAAGGGATTAAACACATCCACCAAACATCAATCTATATATCTTCTTATTTGAAGTAGACCTTTGGGATGTCACTATTTGATGTCATATCTTTTTTACCAGAGTGTGAAGGGTTTACAGTTTTCCAAATTTAGCATATAATATATCAAATTAAAGTCCTATCTATCTATTTTCCAATGCATCAATCTGTTCATCAATCAAACTTTTATTGAGCAAAGTTATAGTCAATTTATCACTGACTGTTCAGTGAAAACCAAGATTGATATCATATCATTTTTCCCAAAATGTGAAGGGTCTATAGTTATCCAAGTTCAGTATATAATATATCACATTAAAACTCTATCTGTCTAGTTTTTAATGCTTCAATCCGTTCATCAATTAAACTTTTATTGAGCAAATTATAACCAATTGACTATTGACTGTTCAATTTCATATGTGCCAATATTACTAAAAAAATATCAAACACCAATTACATTAAGCCACATTTAACCAAAAATTATACTTGTCCACATATCCCACGTCCTCACTAATCACAGGCAGCCACATGTCGAACAATCATTTAACATGTCAAAATGAAACAATTCTGTAATTTAAAAAATCATACATGCCAATCAAACAGGGAATGTCCCATGATTATATTAATATATAGATATAGATAGGTGTGCATAACCCTTCATGATTGGATTGTTGACCCTCTAATTAAATCAAAATACGTAGATATTATAATAAATAAATAAATAAAATTCATTCACCAATGAAAATAAAACATTGAGAAGTGAAACCTATGCAACTCTATCGGTAAAATACAGCAGCAATGTGCTCAAAATCTAAAAACAAGGCTCAATACAGCAGCAATGTGCTCAAAATCTAAAAACAAGGCTCCAAATTTCCGCACATATAGAAACCTTATACATTTATGGTCCTGGAAAAGCATGAAACCGTGAAAACGATGAAGACAATGAGAGGCAATGGCATTCAGATGCTGCTTCCATTTGACATGGTCCCATCAGTTGTGGTTTTCGACCCAGTCCCTGCAATATTTTTTATTTTTTATTTTTTATTTTTCAAACTTCTTTTAGAATAAAAGGCCTATTCAAATGGGAAGTTTAATCAAGTCCAAGATGAAAATTTCAATGTACCGGAAGGGCTGCTTGGCATTGTTGGTGTAGTGGAAGAATCAGGTGTTTCGTCTGAAGAATCTGTAGGACTCACAGGAGAACTTTCCGGACCATTAGCACCTGATGACATTTAAAACATAACAAAATTCATTAAAATTCTGCTTTTTTTGTTTGTTTATTTGTTTGAGTTATTAAGTTGAACGTACCATTGCAGCGGCTAACTAGTGGTGTCTGCACGTTACAGGCTCTCGGTAGTGACATAGCGAGAGTTTGGTTCATAGAAATACCCAATTGAGAGCCGCCATTGACCTCCGAGCACAGACACTGCGGCTGTTGCTGGACGACACTGGCGAGCTGCGTGCAGCAGGAAGATGATGAGGTTGAGGAATTTCCAGTGATCTGGTTTACGCATGGTGATAAACTAATGAGGGCGCCCGTGCAGCCTGAGCCTGATTGAGCTGCAGCTTCATGATGACAAAGGAACATTGTCACAAGGACCAGGCCCAGACCCAATTTAATCCCTTTCAGAGCCATTTGTTGTTAATTGCTGGAGTTTTTTGGGTGCAAATGCTGGTAATTCTGAGAGGTGGTTTGATTACTTATGCAAAGGGAGGCATGCAAAAATCAAATTTATAGTGACCTTAGATTGGAAAGAGTCCATAATATTAGTTGTATTTGGGTGGCCAACTTGACTTTTCCTGAATTGGGAATTACTAAAGTAGATTAGACTTTAAACTACTAGGTGGAGATGATGAAATTAGTCCATAATGTTTCGGGAGATGATGAAATTCTGGCAGTTTGCATCATCAAAAACATAATTCAGACTAATATTATAGGGAGTTCATGAGCCATTTAAGTTATTTTGGGTGGCCAAACTCTGAGGGTGGTTAAAATAATTCAGACTAAACTTTCTATTTTGATTCTTCAATATTTCAGAGTTCTGATTTGTTAAAGTTAATGATCCTAACAAACCATTTGAAGTTATAAAGCTGGGTTCTTGTCTGTTAAGTTTGATGTATCTGATTAGTTTGATAATAATATAACTAAATTAGTTGTAGTCTACGTGATTACATTTAGACAAATAAACTGTCGAGAGTTCGCTTGAATATTTAAAATTAAAAATTATTGTAGTTATGTAACTACAATCAAACAAATAAACAGTAGAGAGCTCGTATAAGAGTTGGTATGACCACCCCTGCTATGGAAGACTTGATTTATGTATATAATTTTTCAAGGTTAGCTTCCATTAAGTTATCGACCCTTTGATTAAATCTTCATTTGTAGATATTTATTATAAATAAACAATAAAAATTCATTCTCTAATAATCAATAATAAGATACATTCATTAACAACTGACAACCCAATACAACTCAAGTCGGTAAATTATTAACTGGAATGTGCTCAAAGTCTAAAAACAAGCTCCTGTTTCGCACATATAGAAACCTTATGCTTTTATGGCCCCGGAAAAGCACGAAACCATGAAAACGATGAAGACAGTGAGAGGCAATGGCATTCTGATGCTGCTTCTATTTGACATGTTTCCATCAGCTATACTTTTAGACCCAGTTCCTGCATTTTTTACTTTTTATTTTTCAAATTTCTTTTAGAATAAAAGGCCTATTGAAATCGGAAGTTCAGTTAAATCCATAATGAAAAAATTTCAATGTACCTGAAGGGCTGCTTGGCAATGTCGGTGTAGTGGAAGTATCAGGGGTGTCGTCTGAAGAATCCGAAGGAGGAATCGCTGGAGCACTTGCTGGACCATTAGCACCTGACGAAATACAAAAAAATTCATTAATCTTTTTTTTTTTTTTTTTTTTTGAGTTAATTAAGTGTATTTTTAGTTTGTTGAACGTACCATTGCAGCGGCTAACCGGTGGTGTCTGCACGTTACAGGCCCCAGGGAGCGACATCGCGAGAGTTTGGTTCAAGGTAATACCTAACTGCGAGGCGCCACCATTGAGCACCGAGCATAGACAATTGGGCTGCTGCTGAACGACACTGGCGAGCTGTGTGCAGCAGGAGGACGACGGGGTTGAGGAGTTTCCAGTGATGTAGTTTAGGCATGGAGATAAACTGACGAGAGCGGTCGTGCAGCCTGAGCTAGATTGAGCTTCAGCTTCATGATGACAAAGCAATATTGTCACGAGGACCAGGACCAGACCCAAATCAATACCTTTCAGAGCCATTTGCTGCTGTTTCTGGGAGGAAATACTGGTGATTCTGAGAAATGGTTTGCTTAATTATGCAAAGGGAGGCATGCAAATGCAAATTTATAATGGGCCTAGATTGAAAGTCCATAGTATTAGTTGTATTTGGGTGGCCAACTTGACTTTCCTGAAGAGCGGATTTTTAAAGTAGATTAGACTTAAGGACAAGAATTCCAGTTACCTAAAATGTCTTCTAATAAGATGAAATTTCTGGCAGTTTGCATCAATGTGTGAAACTACTAGGTGGGGGAGTTTGATTGGTTTGAATTCCAGCGACAAGTAAAGGAAAGACATGTGGCTTATGGAGGAGCCAATGAGCCCATTTAGATAAGTTATTTTGGGTGGCCAAACCATTGGGGGTGGTTAAATAATTCAGAAGTAAAATATTCATATGGAATTATAAAATGGGTTCATGTCTTTAGGTTTGGTATATTTGATTAGCTGCATCTTTTCTTGTCAGCATCTCCATGTTTCTGTAGTTGACCCTCTACCTTTTCATGTAGGAGAAAGAGAGATAAGATAATTTTATATTTTTATTCATAAACCAAGCATGAAAACAATAACGAAAGAAGCCTAATCAACTCATAAATGATATAAAATTCCGAAAATACTAATCCTAAAAACTATCCTATTCCTCTTACATCACCTTTTATGCCATATTTTTTTTTTTTCCATTTCCGTTATGCCATCAGAAGAGCAGACATGGACATTTTTGTTAGATTATCATTACCCTCAAGACGAAGAAAATACTCTACTTAGCTTCACTATCACTACGATTCAAGCATGAGCATTTCATCTCTAGGTTTTTAACAGTGCAGCAGATTTTTCTCCTCAGTCAATGGTAATTTGTCCTTGAAGTTTTAAGGTGTCATTCTGGATTTTGTTGCAATGAACCATTCAAGTCTCTGAAAGCACTTACAGGTTCTTTTGATTTAAGCACTTTCTCTAAAAGGGTCTGAAAATTTCTATATTTTGCATGGGTGGAACAGAGGAAATTAAACCTAAATGTTGAATAGAATCAATATAGAGACGGGATTCGGTATCATTAAAATCTCTGCACATGTTTATTTATATAGTTCAATTCTGTCATGTTGCTTTTAATTGTTCATTGCCATAATTGGTAGATGAAATTCTGAAACCAATTGGCAAATGGTTGAAGATTTTTAGTTATGAGCTGTTTCCACTTTCCAGAGAAAAGGAAATTAAGGGAGGGAAGTTGACCAATTGATCTGTTAGTTTTTATGAAAGAATCAATAGAGAAGCCAATACTCATTCATCGTTTATTAAACAACCCAGATAATAATACAAAAACCACACTTCTGTAATTCAGAATCATCCTCAAGCAAAAACTGGAAAAAGAATAAATGGTATTTGTTCACTAGTACAACAACAGGCTAAAAAGTCTTAGCAGAAGACTCAGAATTTGGCGATCATAGATGCGATGAAGAGAAGGAAGAGAACAAAATGAATAGGTACTCTTCTGATGCCTCCATCAGATGAATCTTGTGTTGTTGATTTAGACCCCGATCCTGCCATTGCCCAAAAAGTACGTCAATTTGCATTCTTTACCATAAATAGTAGTTCTCGTGTCCTACGTTATTTTTTTCAGGAGTGAAATGACATTTTACAACTCATATATATATACACAATCCTGACAAAAATATATTAGGACGTACTGACTAGAGAAAATATGGTGTTTCTTATGTTTGTGCCATACCTGAGGCTGGTGGCGTAATTGTATTTGAAGAGCCTGAAGGAGGGCTAATCGTTGTTGGAGAATCTGAAGAAGGGCTAATCGTTGTTGGAGAATCTGAAGAAGGGCTTATCGTTGTTGGAGAATCTGTAGGTGAAGCTGCAGGTGCAATGGCTTCTGGTAAAAGCAAATCAAAATCCAGTTAATGTTAACAAACTTTCACCTGTTTGAACTCAAAAAAGGGTGATCAATTATGAACTAATTAAAGTTGAACATACGTTTACAATTATTAAATGAAGGAGTTTGAACTTGACAGGCACCAGGAAGAGTCAGAGCAATAGTTCGATTAATATTGATCCCCATTGAAGGAATACTACCGTTGAGAGCAGCGCAAAGGCAATCCGGGGAAGATTTTACGACGGCACCGAGCTTAGAGCAGCAAGAAGTTGAAGGAGTGGATGAGTTTGCCATCAGGTAGTTGAGGCAAGGCGCCATGGTGGCGAGCACATTGTTGCAGTTTGAGTTTGACTGAGCCGTGGCCCCACCCCAAAAGAGGGCCGCCAGGATCAGGATTAGAGCCATCTCGAGCACTCTGGAAGCCATGAAAATGAAGAGAATTGCTTGTAAAGTTGGGTTTGTTGGTTGGGAAATTGGGAGATTTGAGTGTTGGAGTTGGTAAAAAGGATGGGAAGAGATGGGATTATATAAGGAAAGTTTTTTGAGAGGTGACAAAGAGACTGGTACTTTTGGATGAACAACTTTTATTAAACTAAGGTTTGCTTTATAACTAAACAGATTCTTGTAGTGTGCGTGTTACTTATTTGGTGTAAATTATTACATTTTTATTGCTTAAGGATTTGCTTTGTATAATACTATTGTTGGATATATGATAACTAACAAAATATATCTTATATATATAACTCATTACCAATTTAACTGTCTAAAATCAATTGATATGAAATACACTCAGAGGGCGCTTGGTTCAAAGAATGTTGTATTATTGGAAATGCTATATTAATGGGAAAATAGACTACCTTGAAGATTATTATAAATATTATATTAAATGTGTTTGGTTAGATGAGAATAAATTGATGAGTATGTTATATTAATATGTTTGTTTGAGAAGAATAAATTGGTGGATATGTTATATAGATTACTGAATTGTCCTTCTATTTTAATATTATTATTATTTGAACTATTTTTTTAACCCCCAACATTTGAGATTTTGCTAAAACACCCCAGCCAGCAGCTAGAATAAAAGTACAAATTTTAACAAAATCACCCCCACCCACCCAAGCCACTGCTGGCCTAAACAGCGCACCACCGGTCAGTTATGGTCGATCGTGAGCCGATCTAGCCATTTTCGACCAGAGATTTGGTTGAAAACGACCAAATTGGTACACAATCGGCCAGATTTGGTTCAATCGTGCACCGTTCTGGCCATTGCTGCCGACGTCCGGCAATGGTGGCCAAATTTGGCCATCTGTCTTAGGGTCTGCTTGGGAGTTTTTTTTTCACTGGTTTTGGGGGGTTTTTAATTAGACTGGTTTTGAGGTGTTTAAAAACCTTCACTTGCCAGATTTTTAATAGGCTGGTTTTGACTAGTTTAAAAACCCCCCAAAACCAGTGTAGTGTATTTTTTAGGGGTTTATAAAAGACCCCAAATTGGGGTGTTTTGGCTGGTTTAAAACTTTTAACCCAAAAAAACCCCTTTCCACTCCCTTTGTTGCACACAAATCTCTCGCTCCTGTTGACTTCTCTCTAGCACACAAATCTCTTGCTGCTGCACACGAAGTGAGTGAATGGTTTTAATTTGCTACACACAAATCTCTTTGCTGCACACAACTCGTTTGGGTTTGTATTAGATTCTTCTCACTTTCAGCAAATTAGGCGCCAACCAAATTAGGCATTTTGGTTTCTGATAATGTATTAGGCGTCAACCAAACCAGTGTAGTTTCTTTCTCAAAAAATCCTTTCAATAATAATAAGTATTAACTATTACATCTTCTCAAAACCTGAAAAGAAAAAGTTGTCAATTCGCCAGCTATTTAAAAACCACCATTTTCAACGCCTCTCAAGCAAACCGTGTCCAGTATTTGATCACAATCTGTTTCTCCCATTTAAATTAATTTACAATCTTTCCTTTCTTTTCAAATTTTATTTGCTTGCTATTATTCTTTACAGGAGTCAAAACTATGTCCAGCATTCCAATTTGATAATTATAGAGTCTTCTACTCTTACTAAATCGGATAACCCAAAACTCACTTAAATCTGGACACAGACTAATGATAATGGAAGTAAAACCCAAAACCAGGTGTTAAATAAGAAACATAAGTACAACTTTGTAAATACACCTTTTTCACAAGACTGAGTAGCTAAAAACATGTAAGTCAAATTTATAACTTCAAAGTTAATTAAGCAAAAGAGAGAGTTTTTTAACTTTATGGGTATTTATGTAAATTTATCATTTAAAAAAACTATCAGAACCGTTGGAAAATAAACTCCCAAGCACAGGTTGGGTGTTTTAAAAACCGCTACTAAAAACCCCTCAAAACCGCTACGGTGGTTTACCCTCAAAACCGCTACGATGGTTTACCCTCATAACCGCTACCATAAAACTCCCACGCAGACCCTTAGGTAATTCGATGGAAGTGCAAGGGTAATATGTCCTAAAAATATTGTATAAGGATAAAATAGTTCATGAATATTCTTGCAAATTGTTTTCAAAACAAGGTATTGTCCAAAAAATTTAATAGTTAGAGGTAAAACTATAACAAAATTAAAATTACCAAGTAATCTTATAATATCAAAGAAAATTGTAGTATTTAGATTCTCACCTATATAACCAACAGTGATTACTATTGATATTGGAAAAGTACCATAATCTTATATTACTTGACAATCAAACATAATAATATAAGTAATATAATATGACATTATTGGAGTAATTGAGGATAACCTCTAACCAAATGCACCCTCAGCGTTATTTGAAAGTATTAAACCAATAAAACTCTTGAGATTATTAGAAACTCTTGTGATATCTCTTTTTAAGAATTCTCAATTGGAATCCTATTCATTAAATTTTCTTTGATTTTATTTTGGTATAATATAAATCTCTTATACAAACAAATAATATTCAAATAATCGAAAGAGCCAAGTATAAAAACAGTAATCAGTACCCTCTACTTAGCTTCACTGTCACTACCATTCAAGCATGAACTTGTCCTTTATCCAATTTCATCATTGAATTTTTTAGGTGTCTTTCTGGTTTTTGTCATGAACCATTCAAGTCTCTGCAAGCTCTAAAATGGTCTTTATGAAGATTTCTCTATTTTGCAAGGGTGGAATAGAGGAAATTAATCCTAGATGTTGAATAAAATCAATATAGAAATGGGATTCTGTATCATTAATTAAAATCTCTACAAAATTTTATTTGAAGAGTTCAATATGCTATTCAAACGGTAAAATCTACGATTGATTCGGAAGGGAGTGGTCCTGTAAGGATAAAGCCACTAACGATCTTCTAGACCTGCACACAAAAGAAAAGTGAACACGAAGCTCATGGGAGACACCGGTGTGGTGTCTGTCATAGGCACTCTGACACTCAAGTCAGCAAGACTGAAAGATAATTTAGGGAGGGTTGAGAGCACGAAGGTTATCGAGAATGGCTGGTTAGGGCACAATAATCATCGTAGAATGGCCGGAGCACAGCTCAACGAGATCATAGGAACTAGAACTACGTCAAGGAGAGACAAAGGTTCTTGAGAGCAAGATCTTAAGAGTAAGTGAGAAGCATTTGGGATTGAGTGAATAATGAGAGGATGTACCTTTGTTTATATAATAAGCCATGAAGGCTTGAATCCTAATAAAACTATGAGTTCTACTAGTTTAGGAGTTTGAGTAAACAGGAAAGTTGTATAACTTATCCACCTACCATTAAGAGTTCTAATTTAGGTAAGATTAAAAATCTTGGATAAGTTAAAAAGTGTGTGGGACTCTGACTCTTATTCTGGAATAGTCATGGGCCAATGGGCTGGAGCCCAATTAGGGTTATGGCAAGGCCCAAGTCGTTGTGGATTAGAATAATCCCATTCGTTTAAATAGCCCAACTCGTGTAATGGAGGCCCAATGGGAATTAGCCATGGCACCGGGCCATGTAATGATTATTTCATGTTTGGGCCTAACAAGACCTGTTATGATTTTTTGCCCATAGAGCTGTCATATTGCTTTAAATTGTTCATTGCCAATTTCATTCATAATGAGGTGAATATTTGGAAAACTTAAGTGTCTTGCCTTGTAGAGAAATTCTAAAACCAGTAAACAAATGGTTGAAAGAAACTAATAGAGAAGCCAATAGTCATTGATCTTTTATTAAACAACCCCGATAAATAATAATACAAAAACCACACTTCTCTAATCAACAATGAGCATCATCCTCAAACGGAAACTGGAAAAGAATATTGTTATTTGTCAATAATACTACAACAGACTAAAAAAATCTCAGAAGAAGACTCAGAATTTAGCGATTGTTGAAGCACACGATGCGACGAAGAGAAGGAAGAGAACAAAATGAATAGGTGTTCTTCTGATGCCTCCATCAGATGAATCTTGTGTTGTTGATGTAGACGTCGATCCTGCAATTGCCCAACCATTATATCAATTTACATTCTTTACCATAAATAGTTTGTTCTCACGTCCTAATATTAATTTTATCAGGATTATGCTTATAGAATGTTGGATTCATCTTATGGGACTGAAATAGTATTTTACAACACAGATTTAATGGTATATATGTATAATCCTGACAAAATTATATGTCCTTCTGATTCATCTCATGGAACTAAAATGTCTAATGGAAGTATATATGCATGATCCTGGCAAAATTATATAAGATGTCCTAACTAGAGAATAAAATGTGTTAGTTGTTTCTTATGTTTGTACCATACCTGAGGCCGGCGGCGTAGTTGTATTTGCAGAACCTGAAGAAGGGCTTGTCGTTGATGGAGAACCTGGAGGTGAAGCTGCGGGAGTAATGGCTTCTGGTAAAAGAAAATCAAAACCCAGTTAATGTTAACAAACAAATCCCTGGTTTAAACTCAAAAAGGGCCATATATTCTGAGCAAAATTAAAGTTGATCATACGTTTACACTGGTCAATTGAAGAAGTTTGAACTTGACAGGCATCAGGAAGGGAAAGAGCAATGGTTCGGTTAATATTGATCCCCATTGAAGGAACACTGCCGTTGAGAGCAGCGCAAAGGCAATCCGGGGAAGATTTCGCGACGGCTCCGAGCTGAGAGCAGCAAGAATTTGAAGGGGTCGATGAGTTTCCCGTAAGGAAGTTGAGGCAAGGCGCCATGCTTGTGAGCACATCGTTGCAGTTTGAGTTTGACTGAGCCATGACTCCACCCCAAAACATGGCCGCCAGGACCAGGACTAGAGTCATCTGGAGCCCTCTGGAAGCCATGAAAATGATGGGAATTGCTTGTAAAATTGGGTTTGTTGGTTGGGAAATTGGGAGATTTTTGAGTGTTTGGTGTTGGAAAAAGGAAAGGAAGAGAAGGGGTTATATAAGGAAAGGTTTTCTCGAGAAAATTTAAATTTTTTATAGATTGCTTAAGGATTTGTTTGTTTGTTCTTTACATAATTTATTCGTCCAAGATCTATTAACTATGAAACACACCACCAAGATTATTAAAAAGTCTTAAGCCTCTTGAGATTGCTAATAGAATTTAAAAACATTATATTCAATAATTTTAATGATAAAATCATTCTTGAAATAAAATGAAATCTTTTTTTTTTATTGTTGTTTTATTATTTTATATATAGAACATGATTAGAATGGTATTTCAAAGGATCTTGATTTAATTTTGAACTTTTCTCAACTACTCACTAGATTTGCATTTTCTTCATCCCATGCAAAAAATGAAGAAGAATCTTTAGTATTTAAAATGTGAAATAAAACTTTCAAACTAAATGCATGTTCTTCGATCATTTTCTAAATGAATGTAATTTTAAATTGACACAAGTTAAAATATATCCTTAGAATACACGTTATGATCATTAAAAAAATTTCTTTATTTCAAACACTTTATGTAAAAAGACAAAAAAGGAAATTTCCAAAACATTAATATTGAGATATTAGACATTTTTATTAAATAGTCAGCCTTACATTTAACAATTATCTTACTTTACAACAAATAAATTCGAACTATGACACTATTAGAAGTTTATTAATCAAACTCATTAAGGGTTATGGGTTACTTTACAACAATTGGTATTTTGTCTGTAATTTCCAATTTAAAAAATCATTAATGGGGTGTACATATAAATTTCGTGAAGCTTCAATAACACCACTTTATATTTAGATCTAAAAATAAAATTTATATTCCGACAATGAACAAAGAACAAACTTGATACAAGCTATTAAGATTTTTAAAGAGGGAAGACCGACGAGCCTTTTGGTAGCAGAATGTTAGATTTTGGTAATTGAGATTGATCGAAATTTGACTTAGAATGGGCGATTGTGTAAACCCTAATCGCAAGATTGCCAGTGATTAGCGAGGTCGACGAGAGTAGAATTTGATACGTGATGATCGAAGAAGAGAATGTTGGTGGTGGTGTGGGGTCGCAACGATGTCAAAATCAAAAACAAAATATAAATTTAGATAATAAAGTGATATTTAAAAAGTCGACGAGTAAAAAAATGTTATCAAGTCATTATTTGGATGAGAAAAAGTTGTTAACTCCGGTAAAGATGAATAGTGTCACAATTTATCATTTTTTCCTCTTCATATTTCCCGCTTTTCGTACTCCTTCCTGATTAATTAAATACTTATATTTATTTATATGCCATAGTTTAGTTTTAGAAGTCAATATATTTAAAAATAAAACAAATTCTACCATATTTAAAGTATAGATATATACTATATTATACTTTAAAAAAATTACAAAATGTGAAACTAAACTTATAATGACATGAACTATGCTACTTGTTATGTGTAATATAAAAGTTTCAAAATTATTAATTGAATTAAATTCAATTATGAATGAATATGTTAAAGTTCATTAATTATATCTTAGGTTTAATTAACAGTATTAGAATTAAAAATTTTGAAGATTAATTGTAGTTTTATATCAAACATAAACTTATACAATATTTTAAACACATGTAGAGATGATAAAATATTTCATATACTATTTATGAAAATAAAAATAAAAATAAAAAAGCGAAGAAATTAAATTTCTTGAAGGGCATAATTGCAAATAAAAAAAATCTTATATTTGCTATATTTGAAAGGGAAGATGGATGATCAATCAAAAAATCTATACCTTTCGAATTCTAATTTAGAAACAATTTTTTGGTAGAATTAAAATGTTAAAGCTTTTAACTTAAAATTTTCAAAATTCAAGGGGGCACGTGCCCCCCTTGTGTACAATATAAGTCCGACACATCAATGATGTCAAATATATCAAGTTTGTATATAAACTGAAGTAACACAATATGTATGAATAAGTAGGTGTAAAAAATCAAACTTTATAAATCTCCAACGTAAATATGAAGGAATAATGTATAATATATACATCACAAAGCNATAACAGAGGTATCACCTCCAAGTGTCGCCATTAAAGATATTGTGGATGGCTTGCTCTGGATTTCGCCGCATGCAAAGACTTTGGCAATAAAGTCTGTTTATAGCCACATATTCTGTTTGGAGGTACTTTAATTTTTTGTATTCAATACTTCGTTTATCCTATGAGAAAGATACTTAATATATTTGTACCATAGTTTGTTGTGCTAATCATTTTTTTCGCTATGTTTGTGCAATCCTGTTAAAGTAGAGTTCAAAGGCTCGGCAAACTTGCCTTATTTTCATCTGTTTTGGAGCACATAACAGAAAAGAGAGTTTTTGGCTGTGCAGTTTTAAGACTAGATTTCTGCATTTTTTTTCTTTCCATGGTTAATGCCTTTTACATGCTTAAAACAAATGTTTATAATTTCCATTTACTTGCTTTTCAGTTTGAGTTTTCATATAAAAAGGAGCCAATTTATGAAGGAGAGATTTGTGAATGCTGCAAATCTGTTCCCATATCGTGTTGGCGGCAATGCATAGAGAAAGTTGAGATCAAATATACAAGTTACAAACAAATAAAAGGGTATGTTTTTGAGGGTGAAGAGATTTGGGAGATGACGGATTGTCTTACAGGGTTGACCACAAGTCATTAGATATGTTTCTTACTTAAAGGTCATTATTTTATGGATTGAATTACATTATTTACTTTCCCTTTGAAGTTATTGATAAGGGATTATTTCCAATGAGCCAATGTTAAATACAGGAAATAATGGGTGTGCTTGGTTCCATATTTCTATCCATATTTCCAATCATATTCTCCGAATATTGTTTGGCACATTACTTGAGAAATATTATTATATTTTTTAATTACTTTTAGAGCCCTTAAGTTTATTAATTTCATTAAATACTGCAAAAAAAAAGTTTCAAAATTAACAAAAACATCTCCATCGACCCATACTTGTCAGATTCCCGCAACCACCATCGATGGTAGCTGGAGTCTATCACAACAGCCTACACCACGACCGGAATTAGCTAGCAATTCACTGATGACGGCAAAAGAAATGGTTGCCATTGACGGTCAACGACAGCCAAATCTTGGTCATCGTTGACCGACAATGATGGCCAAAGATGGACTTTTGCGGTCATCGACGACTATATCTAGTCGTAGATCTGACATTTTTCGGCCAGATATATGGTCGATCTAGTTGAAAAATGTCATTTCGATGTCATACCCATCAGATCCAACTGGTATGTGTCGTTATACAATTTTCTGGCCAGATTCCAACGGTAGCAGTCGAAATCTGGCATTGTAAGTGGTGGGGGTGTTTTTGTCATTTTACAAAATTTTTATATATTGGGGTGTTTAGTTAAATTAGCAAACCTATGAGGTTTTTCCATAAATTTTTAAATTTTACTTCGTAATACTCCCTTATTCAACTACCCAATATTAGTCTATATTGAGTTTCTTATTACTTTTGCTGTCAAATCAACCAGTAGAGAGAGGCGCATTACCATACTTGTATGCTTCCCAGACACTGAGGGAGAGGTGCATTACAATAACCTTATTAAAAATGGGAGCATATGGGTTGATTCGGATCAATATTAAACTATTAACTGTATGCTCATTCAATACTTACTTTTCCCTAGCTTCAACATCTCCTAGCAAATGGAATTTTAAAAATCAATAGAGATTGGCTAACAACCTAATTTTGCAAATTTTTTCTGACTATCCTGACATGACGACTCATAATTAAATAGGCGAAACTTATTGCGAATTGACCAATTAAGAGTTATCACGTAGGAATTATGAGATAACGTTTATAAAATTAGATTGTAAGTATAGTATTGTCTTTTGAACAAAAGAATACCTTATTCCTCCGAATCTCACAATGGGTTGTATAAGGACCATTACATGTGACCGTTAAACCATGCAAATTCACTTTCAATGTAGTCACATATAACTTATGCGTTAACCTAGGTGAATAATAACAATTACGTGATGAAATTGGATGCAATTTACAATATACATATACTTTGATAGTTTAATTAAAGTATGTTAGACTATGCTTAAAATTCACAACATAGTAATATGATCATAGGCATCACCAATCATCCAGTTTTTAATAAATTCAAGAAATAAAATTCACAAAAAAGATATAAACCTTAAGATTATTAAATGAAACATTTTAGTTTGTGCATAGTCCTGCAAGAAGACAATCCATCTTTCCCAAATCTCTTCACCCTAAAAAATATATCGTACCATTTTATTTGCACATTATAAGTAAGCTTAATCTCAACTCTTTTTATGCGTTGCAGTCAACATGATAAGAGAATAGATTTCCTCATCATAACCAAGACATATTTTGTCATAACTCGTTCCTACAAAGAAAAAAAGTGTAACGGTAATAAACTTATGAGAAATTATTTGTAAAAGGGAAATGATTTTTAGTCCTCGTCTAATTGATTTTCATCCCCCAAGGTTAAGTATACCTCTTTTATGATTAAAAAAATCTTTTTAAATCTTATGTAAGAGCATCTCCAAATGACTTTTTATATCTTTATTATAAAGAGTTTATCCATAAAAATAAGAGTCCAACTGACTCTTTATCTTGAAAATATAAATTAGAGAGTGAGTTTAATTTTTCATATTTAGAGAGTCAAATTTCACTCTTTATCCTAATTTTAATTAATAAACTACAAGTTCATATGCATTTTATTTATTAATTCTCTCTCCCATCAAGTCTCTTTCTTAAAAATAAAGAGCATCTTCATTAAATTTAAAGAGTCTATTAGATTTGAATAAAAATTGTGTTCTTTATATTTTAAAATTAATGAAGATGCTCTTTATTTATATGAAAGACGCTCTTCAAAATAAAGAGCACCACTGGAGATGTTCTAATACTGAAAATAACTTTTTATGCTTAATTAAGTTTATTTCCCCAATTTCAAACTTAATTAAGTTTTTTGTTTTAGAAAACATTTCCCAAATTAAACTTAATTTGGTTTTTTCTTTGCACTTTTTTTCACCTTATGTCCTAATTTCAACTTATTTTATCTTCTTCATAATCAAATTCATCCCATTATGTTTTTCAAAGTTTTATAGTATTATATATTCATC